GCCTCATTAGCCTTACACTAGCCTCAGGAGCTGAGGTGGGTATAGTTAAGAGCAATTTAGAGATTAAGAAATTGAACATCAGAGGGATTTGTGTCTTACGTAGGTGTGTACATCTAAGTGGTAGGGTTAGGGCTTGAATATAGGTCTATCAGATTCCAAAGCCCCTGCGCTTTCCACTATACCACACTGCCTCCCAAACTGCCTTGAGGGAAGAATGCTGCAGGGTGATGACTGGCTGGAAGGCAGGAGTAGAGATATGTTTCCTTCAGTATGTTTCAGAGCCTCTCCTGAATTAGTTTGCCTAGATCTCAATACCCACTGACTAGGAATTCCTCCCTCCTCTTCAATTAATATTAACACTGCGTATAATATCCAGCTCTGTCCTTTCTATAACAAGCTAGAAAAATGGGAAATGTTTAAGTAAGAGGTAGATTCATCCTCTAGAAGGCTGAGGACTGAGGGAAGAGAAAGGAAGACTAATCAATATTATTGTTTGCAGATGGAACACCCTACCTCAACTGCTTTGATGTAAAGTCCCAGGGCTTTCAAGAGTTCCATTTGAGATGCCCTTACCTTCTGGGCAATTCCATGATTTGTGCTTCAAGTTTTACTTCTTCCCTGGGATCTACTTAGAATATTCTTATATATAATGAACTCGTCAGTTATCTGCATGACGTTTATTTCATTTGATACTTATTTATTCTCTGTTTGTGGATTATTTCTAACTAGATTGGGAATTTATTAAGGTTAGAGATTTAGTCTTATATGTCCTTGCTTCTCTCCCAATACTTACAGAACAACACACAAAATAGGACTCAATAAATATTCACTGAAAATACATTTGTATTTTTCTTCAAGATGGAGGAAAAAATGCAAACTGTTTCCACTTGAAATTTAGAAATACATTTCAATTGTCTCTTGAATAATATCAAGATAATTTCACTAGGCAGTCTCAATTATTTTGTATTATATTAAGGTTGGTTTTTAATATTTATCACAAATCAGCATATTCTGCCATTTTAAAAAATGTATTAATGGTAGGCTTTCACCAGGAGCAAAGATGTAAAAGGATCATTTTTAAAGGTTGGTTGTTTAGTTCCTTTACTCTTTATACTATTTCTTTCCTTGTTCTTTGGAGGTTTGAGATGCCAGCCCATGGAAAGAAAAAATGGCTCCAGATTCTTAGGCACCACAAAATAAAATTTGGAATCTTTATTAATGTGTGTATGGGGAGGAATGGGATACAGTTGTGGGGAGGGGGTCATGAATTGGAGGAAGTGATAAGAAGTAACATTTCTGAGAATAAAATCATTACTAAAGTTGTTACAGTATTTTCTTCAGGCCTTTAAAAAATTAGTTGGTAGTAATTTGTGTTTAACTTGTGTACTCTGATAATAGTAACTTGCATTTATAAGTGATTTATAGGCTTAGAAATTGAAATAATCATCTTTCCCATTTTCCCCAAGGAAGCTGAAGGACAGTAGTATTAAGTAATCTATTCAAGACCACATTGATAGTAATAAGTAGACGAGGCTTTTATCTGGGTTTTGATACCAAGTCCTTGGTCTTTAGACTCCATCTACATGTAGCTTCAAGATAATTGTATTAACTCTCTGTGAGAGAAAATTCTAGCTCCAAGTTCATTTTCTTAGGTCAAATGGACTTATTACTTATTAAACCTGAACTGTTAAGAGCCTCAATTAGTCCTCTCTTCTCTAACATTCACTGTTCCCCAAATGAAGTTTTATATGTTCTCAGTTTTTATGAGTTATTGGTAGGTAGGCTATATTTGAATTCAATTTAGTGTAATTAAACTTATTATTACCCTAAAACAGCCTCTTATCTTCTTTTTTTTCTTTTCCTTTGCAACTATTATTGATTTTTAGCAAGAAAGTAAATAACATTTGTTGATGCTCCTCATGAGCCAAACATCTTGCTGAGTGATTTTGTAGGCATTATTTAATATAATAATATATCTCAAATAAGACATTACCTTATAATTCAACATTCACTCAACAAAACTGTTAATAAATGACTACTGTGTGTCAGGTATTGGCTAGGATCTAGAGATACAAAGAGAGGTAAAATGTATTTGCTGATCTTGTGGGGTTCTTTTCAGTTGAGGAAAGGAGAGAGGCAAGGCAGATAAGGATAAAAATACTACAGATGCTATGATCAAACTCATAATTGATCAATAATAAGATTGATCATAATTGATCAATACATAATTCAAACATTCATTCATTAAATGATATGCCAGACACAGTTTTAGGTGCTGGGGAAATGGTGGTCAACAAAACAGGCAAAAATCCCTTCCCTCACAGAGCTAACATTCTAGTAGGGATGCTAAAGATCAGGAAGGAACAATCATTTGAGGTCATAAAAACTTACATAGAGAAGGTGATATTACTTTCTGAGTCTCATTTAAAGGGAAAACAAGCTCTAATTGGCATAGAAATGGCTAGTAGGAATCTTTGGAACATCAGTTATATATCAAAATGATTGTGTGAACATTGAAAGTAAAGCTACTTTTCAATTTGTAACCTCATACTCTTGAAGTAATGCATAAGGTATGCTGTGGGTGGCAGGTTTCCACTATCAGGATCCTTTCTGGAACCAGCCAGTTCTTAAACCTATCAGTTCTCTACATCTGCACCACCATGAAAGATAGACAAATTCATTTAAAGCTAAATAAGGTAGAATGGTACAATTTGTCTCACTTGATTCAAGAGTAATGTCTTCAATTCTGTAGTGTATGTTAGATCAGAACAGATTTTTCATTCTTAAATGGAAGACTCTCAAGGATGTCGAACTTGTTTTTTCTGTTGTTCAGTCTTTCAATACCGGTAAAAACTAAATGTGCCTTATCCATCTTACTCTTTCCTTGTACAAAGATATTCCCTATAAATTCTCCATATATTAACTTTGGTGAACCATCATAATTTAATATAAGCCATATCTTCGTAAAATAGCATTATTATTGTTATTTAGGGGATTCGATTTTGTCAATAAACAAAAATAGCTCCTCTCACAACCTCAAGTTTTGTTGTGAAATCAAATAAGATAATTAAAGAATGTGAAACACACTTTGAAAACATCAAAATGCCAAAACCTGTGAATTCCTACAGTTGATTTTATTCATATTGTTAATTTCAGTGACTAGAGAGCTACAAAGAGGGTTATCTCTTTGTAGCCTTCATAAAAACCACCTATCTCTACATAGTTTTCTTTTGTTATTGGATTTTTTTCTAAAAATACTTTATTGAATCTACTTTATTTATTCAGTAAACAATTACTGAGTGTCAGAACTATGCTGGGCTCCAAAGAAATTTACATGTAAAATAGTCCCCATCAAATGAAGGTGAGAGACAATAAAGATCATTATATTAGAGGTTGGTAATTCTATGACAGAGGTATTTAATACATTAGCTATAATTTGAACCCAATTTTCCTTTTCTTAGTTCATCAACTCTCTACAGTGGCTTTTTAAGCTTGAAAATGTATGGAATGATCTAGTGGCATGTTAAAATGGAGATTGCTATGCTGTACCCCTAGAGAGAGTCAGCAGTCAGGGAATCTGCATTTTCACAAAGACCACGTGTTTTGGGAGCTGGTAACCCTTGGACTTGGAGAAAGAGTCCCTTTGTGATCTTTTGTTTTTGCCCAAGACTTCCCTAAGTGAAGGCCCCATAAGGCCTCTTTTCATCCCTCCATCTGCTTATCTCAATGCCATGCTCTCAGGATTGCCAGCTTAGATTTACCAGATCCATGTTCATTTCATTACCTTGACTTGAAGTAATTCCTCGTAGTGATGTGCTGACCTTATCGGAGTCAGTTGTACCTAGTCTCCTGAGAATTACACCAACTGTTGCCTCACCCAAAGACTGACACTAATGGTGGGGCTATCTGGAAGAAGGTGATGAGGAAATGCCCCTCTCATGGTACGATAAAAGAATGCTTTTTAAACAAGATATTAAATCACATCAGCTGGGCACTGCCTACTGGTAGGGAAATACTATATAAGCCTGAATCATTTAATTTTCATAACAAATCTGTGAAGCAGGTGCTATTATTATGTTCATTTCACAGATGAGGACACTGAGGCTCAGTCACGTGCCCAACATCACACAGCTACTAAGTGGTAGAGCAGGGATTTGAACTCACATGGTCTGGCTCCAGGATCTGGTGGCCATGATCACTATACTAATGCTGCCTTTCTCTTAGTCAAAGGAATGTCCTGTGGTCCTTTTGCTACCACCATTCATATCACAATGACTTCCAGTAAGTTTTGCAAACAAGTAAAGAAACAACGACCAACAAAAATCATCTCAAAAGCAAAACAAAACAATACAAATACGACATAGGATGGTTTTCAGTGTATTTTCAAGTCAAAGATGTATTTCAACTGCAAATTACAGGAAATTTCTGGTAAAGAAAAAAGAGCCCAATAGACTCATAACCACATATACTAACGTATCTCATGTTCTCAGAAGGGAAGATGATAACTCCTTTCACAGTGTTTTTCCAGAATTACAGGTTATTCCATGATGAGCATGAGTTCTTGAGTCAGAAAGATCAGCCTTCTAATTCTGGCCTGTCATTTACTTGCTTGATGACCTACGGCAATTTGCTTACCTTAATTAATTCTCAGCTTCCATGAAATGGACATGACAGTACCTACGTTGGTGAATATTAAATGAGATAATTATATAAAGTGCTCAACACAGTGCCTGGAACATAACAGACTCTCAACAATCAGTACCTATTTACCGGTATTAGTAGTAGTAGTAGTAATTGTTAGTAGTAGTATAATAATAGTAGTAGTAAATTTAATACTCTTAGTAGAATGTAATATGTTTAGACAGAATATTTTGGCAGAATGAATACATTATAAAAGTTTAATTGATGTTGAATCTTCTTTTTGACATCATGATTGTAAAATGTTTATTTTGCTCCTTGGAGAATATCTCTTCTGAGATGGGCTCATTCCTTTTCACCAGGTGATCAACCCAACACTCATCAGCTGCTGGCCCTGGCCTCACGCCTGCGGGAGAGTGCGGAACTCTTTCAGTCAGATGAGATGCGTCCTGCTAATGACCCCAAGGAGAGAGCTCCCATACGTGTCCGAATGCTGAATGACATTCTCCAAGACATGGAGAAAAGCTTCCTGGTGCAGCGGGTGCCACCAGGTTTTTATAGGTAGGATATCTGTCTCACAGTTTATATTTTTATGCCCTTCCATTAAATTTTAGTGTTTACTTTCAGAATATGTACTTTCTGTGAACATAACACTATTTTTAAAAATGTAAAGCAGCTATTATATCCAGAATTTGAGGACAGTTTTCCTCCCCTAGAGAAAAGTTCAACTGCATAAATATAGAATAAGGAAATTTGATTTAGCAGTATCATATAGAAAATGACTAAGAATTTTTTTTTTTTTGACCTTAAGGTCAATATGAGTTGAACCTGATATGGCTACTAAAAAACTGAATGGAATTCTAGGTTTTATAGGAATTATAAGAAGAAATGCATTTTCTTGAATGGATCAAGTGATAAGCCCATGCTCTTCTGTCCTAGTAAGACCACATCTCAAGCATTGTGTATAATTCTAGAAACTACATTTTAAGATGGAGTTAAATAAGTTTAATATTCAGGGGAGAATGGGATTTAGATGGATCTTGAAATAACCAGGGGATCAGAGATATTTTCTTGGAGGGTCACAATAGAGTGATTTCTAAAAAAATTTTAACAATTTTAACAAATATTTTAATAAAACAATTTTCATATGGAAGAGGGATTCAATTTAGGCTCTTAGAGGATGAGATGAGAACAACATGGTTTTGTTTTTGAGGTTCCTGATATAGTAGAAATTAAACAAAGAGAAGAAATGGAGTTTAAAAGATTATAACATATTTTAAATGTTTTTATTTAACTGATTCTTCTACAGGACACAAAATATAAATACAGACATCTTTCTGTGTAATAGATGCATATATAGTATGTGTATGTGTATCACAATTTAATATATATATACATGTGTATGTTCTGTGTGTATATACATGTATGTTAGAATGTATATTTTGTATATATGTGTGTGGGTGTATATATAGACATATATATATATATGTCTAGTCCAGGGTTTATCATGAGAAAAAGGCAGGAGACAAAGAAGTGTTGGAGGAAGAGTGAAGCTGGAAGACTACTTGGCCCAGAACTCGTGTGCATAAAGGTCTTCAAATTTAGGCTTTTACACTACATCAATGTTTATATATAAAAATTCCTATATGTATATATACATACATATATAGGAATACAATTCTTAATTGCATATGAGAAAGAAGTTTCTAACAAGCCATGTTCTTAAAAGACTAAATGTGATGCTTTTATAGGGTGGTGAACTCACGATCACTGCGGGTATTAAAACAGGCTGAGTAGCCCTAAGCACTTCAATATTTGGACGACATGAGGTTTAAGGTGACTTTTAGTATGAAAATTCTATGACCTGACAAGTTACTTGATCTTTCTGCACCTTAATTTCTACATCTGTAAAATGAGATTATGGAATTGAGACCCTTTTAAAATAAGAAACCTCTTCCACTTCTGATATTTGATGATTTTCCTTCATGATTTTAAACTCAAATTCCTATTTAAAATCTTTATTTTATGTCATTTCTTCTAACATTATGATTCTGTATAATAAGACTTTGGAAAACGTTCATTTATTTTGACAGATATTTTTAAGGCACCTTGTATGTTCCGTGGACTCTTGTAAGCACCAGAGATATAGCAGTCACCTCAAGTTAAGCACATCTGCCCTGATGAGTTTCCATAGTGGTGGGGGTGGGGAAACAGAATCAACAAGATAATTATGTAAAATATAGTGTATGGTAGATGTAATAATTGCTAAAGAGAAAAATAACACCACATTATTAAATTCAGCATTATTAACAAGTCTTAATCAGAATAGATAAATTATATTTTTAGAAAATAAATATTTCTTTCACTTTTACTTTATGAAAAGTTAAGAAATTAATAGCAATCATACATTAAGAATATGGTTTTTCACATTATAATATAGTGAACTCTTTCCTCATTTGCCTTTCTTAGCACTTGCACCGGATATAGAAGACCCCTCTATGGTCTGACTTATCTATCTAGTAAACTTTCTATTACTTCTTCAATAATATTTATGGACTCAACTTATTTCATATGAATTTTGAGTATAAAAGTAAATGTATGTCTTGCCTTGAGTTAACAATGATTAAGCAAGTGATTTTTTTCCCTATTAGTAATAATTATAATTACAACATACCTTGTATTCTAGTGTGCAAGCCTCAAAATGTTGATTATTATAATGTTCTAACTCATAAAACAAACTTTAGGATTGAAAGCTTATGGTTCAATATTTTGGCGTTATTTTAATCTATTACTGTAGTTATTGAGGAATGTATTTTTGCCATTCTTTTCCTTGGGGCTCTTAATTCATATATAGGCCAACAGTGCAAATAGATTAAATACTTCATTTTGATTTATCTGACTGAACTTTATCCCAAGATTATCATGAATTTTTACTTCATTTATGAAATGTATAATAAATCATCCTACTTCATGTTTTTTCTTGGTAGAGAATTCACATTTCTAAATATTCTTGATGCAAAATTTCAAAATTACAGTAGAATTTCTATTCTCAATCCATGTAAACTCATCCTTTATGAGGGAGGAAATGTTCAAAGTAAAAAGATGATGTGACAAGATGATATGCGGTTTCAGACAATGAAAAAATTGATTATTTATAATGACAACTATATGGAGAAAAGATAAAATTGTTGATTACATTGTACAAAAGAACATTTGGTGAACAGGGTTCTTCTTTTTTTTTTTTAATGTTAAACCTTTAGAGATGTTTTCCATATAAGAATCTCACTCTTCAACCCAATGGTGTTATGACAATTCTCATCAAATATACAAGGGGGAAGTCAAAAGTGATTTGCATTTTAAGAAAGTTGTTGACAGAAGTTTACTGTATAAAGCTAAATATTGCATTTGAAATTTGGCTCATTTCCCAAAAGATACTGCCTCAACAAGAGTCACTAAGCAGTGAAATACATTATTTTTGGAATATGTGAAAGAATTTTCCCCCTAATTTGGCATCAGAAGATTCCAAGATTTTGAATCCTATAATGTTTTGTCTAAATCTGACTGTTGAGGAGAATTCAAGATGATAGTGTAGAAAGATCCTGAACTCACCTCCTCCCATGAACACAATAAATCTACAGCTGCATGTGAAACAATTCCTTCTGAAAAAGACCTGAAAACTAGCTGAAGAGTTCCTCTATAACCAAGGATAAAAGGGCCACATCAAAACAGGTAGGAGAAGCAGAGACACGATCTTGCCAAAAGCCCCACCGCCCAGGTGTGACAACTCACAATCATGAGGGATCTCATAAATACGGTGCTTCTTCCTGGGGAGCAAGGGGTTTGTGCCCCACATCAGGCACCCTAATTTTGAGACCTACACCAGAGATGTGAGCCCTCAAATCATCTGGCTTTGGAAACCAATGGGGCTTACAGCCAGGAGAACCACAGGGCTGTAGGGAGTAGAGATTCCACTCTTAAAGGACTTGTGTGCATACTCAGTTGCCCAGGACCTAGCACAAAAGAAACAGTTTGAAAAGTACCTACAAGTGATGGAGATTCACTTGCTAATCTTAAAGCATCTGCTGGAGGGGCAGAAGCCTCTCTCTGGGGACAGAGTCCTGGTAGGTGCCATTTTTGCTCTGTCTCTCTACCTTGTTAGTACCAGTGGTGACAGGCATCATTTTTGCACTCTTCCTCTGACCTGCTAGAACCAGTGGGTACACCCTGTCCCCACTGTCCTGCACTGCCGCAGCAGTCTGGACAGAGCCAGCAGGGTGAGAGCCCCCGCAGCCCGGGCCACCACCAGCCAAGGTCCCACCAAAGCTGATGGGAATGTACAGCCCACAAAGGGGATGACCCTTGAGCACCTGGTTCTGGTGGCTAGGGGGAATTGCACTTCCAGGCCCCGTGGGTCTGTAACAATTGAAGAGGCAATTCTTGGCAGGCTACCACCCCCAAGGCACTGCACAAACAGCAGACTAAAAAACACCCCAATCTTCCTATGAAAAGGCCTATTTACTTGTCCTGGAGCTCCAGCCTGAGACACAGGTTTACCACACGTCCAGAGGCAATGAAACGTAGGCTGGATGTCTTCACCTTTGTACGCTCACTGACCTTGCTACAGCTTGCTGGTACCTCCCCAAAAGGAGCTCATATACTCATCTGGAGCCACGATTTTTGTGACAGTCACTAAAGGGACACGTCCAGGTTGCCTGGTCTGGAGGCCAGCAGGGTCTACAATTGTGATCCCACAGGACAATGTCTATTTGCATACCTTGAAAGCTGCTGCCTGAGAGTCTAGCTTCCATCCAGCCTAAAACTAGGTGCTAACTGAGATTCCTCTCTCTGGAACAATTACAGGTCTTGACTCTCAGCAACTGGGATCTATCTAGAAAAAATTAGGCTGCTTAAACAATCACAGAAGTTTGAGAGACAACTAAGAGCTAGGGCAAGGTCAAATGGTAAAGTTCATCTCCTAAAAAAGACCACTCTTTCCAGACCAGAAGAGATAGCTGTTTTGCCTAGCACATACAAATAAACACAGAGTCAAGCAAAATGAGGAGACAGAGGAATATGTTCCAAGTAAAAGCACAAGATAAAGAAGCAACAAAAAGATAGAATATATAAGAAAGTTCCAAAGAGAAGTCACAGGGCTGAATAATATAGTAACTGAACTGAAAAATACATTAGGGGGTTCAACAGCAGACTAGATGAAGCAGAAGAATCAGTGATCTGAAAGACAGGGCAGTGGAACTTACTCAAATAGAACAGCAAAAAGAAAAAAGAATTTAAAAAAGTGAAGATAGCATAAGGGACCTATGGGACAATATGAAGCAGAATAACATTCACATTATAGGGGTCCTAGAAGGAGAAGAGAGAGAGAAAGGGGCAGAAGACTTATTTGAAGAAATAATGGCCAAAAACTTCCCTAACCTGAGGAAGGGGAAAGACATCTAGATTCAGGAATTCCAGAGAGTTCTAAACAAGATAAACCCAAAGAGATCCACACCAAGACATATTATAATTAAACTGTCAAAAGTTAAAGATAAAGAGAGAATATT